CATTGCAAATCTTATATTCTTATATAGTTGGAAAGGTCTTAATCCGAAGAGTGCAGATTGCATATCGGGTTTTCCATTCAGAATCACTTTACTTGTTTTTGCTTTGTCAAACTTTTTAATGCAACCAGTATGCTACGCGATGGCACAACGTCGTTGTCATCCCGTGACGACTAACTTCAACTGGCTTCGATTTTAACTTTTGTTTTTTTTTTTTGCAAAGTATTTCAAACAAACAACACTTAATCCACGTTTAATTTCCTAAAACAAAATAAACGTTATACTAAATACAATTGCTATGTGTTTTCTCGACTTATTTAGGTCTAAATTATGTATGCTCATTTCGCTCAAAACCGTATACTTATCACTTTGTGAAAACACATTCAGGCGTTTCTGCATATTCAGCTAAGTTTCCTTCATTACAACTTTACATTTATTTTACTTTGCAATAGTTTAGTTTCGGTTTGTTTCATAGATTGCTATAAACACCTTTTAGCTACTTTTTTTATTTACTACGGGTTTTATTTTTCGCTTTTGTGTGTTTCTTTGTTTCATCACCTAAAACCTTGTCATACACTGAACGCTCATAACGTTTTCATACTCTGTACACTATTATAAATACCATTACTACACTTTATTGTGTACTTTACATGTAGTTTTATTAAATAAAGTTACGTGTACGTGAGTCTGTTTGTCTGACCACGTAATTTGTTTTTTCAAATAGACCAGGATTTATCCATCTAATATATAATGTCTACAAGAAAGCGTAGCTTAAATGGCGTGCGTGAAAATGACAGAATAAGGAAAATTCAAGTGAAAGGCATGAAAACTACCTCAAATGTTTTGCGGGTCGAGGCTATTAGGTTAATATTTTCCGAACTAGAAAGTAGATATAGTAGAAAGTTAAGAAGATCTGAAATATCACGCAGCTAAATAAAACAAGGGGAAAAGGCATATTAGATATACACAAGGTGGGGTAAAAGTAATTGTAGAGTTGTTTCACTTCTAACATCTTACTTGAAACAAACAATAATCAAATTGGTTTCAACTGTATTAATAATATTTTCTTTAGAATAAACAGTATAATACCAACTATACCAAACATGTAGTTTAACTGTATAGTAACTTAGTTCTGCCTTATCAATTATTAAAATATGTTTTTATCACATTATTCCCTTTTGTTTATTCAAACTTTTTTGTTTTCTTAAAAAATATTAGCATTCAAGAGCTTTGCTTTTTGTTTCTCTGAAAAATTAATATTCATATAAAAATTATATTAAAAAAATAATATTCAAAACTCGCACTCTAATATAACATTTCTAAGTCATGTTTGTGTCCCACTGTTTTTTTTTTCTTTTATTAACATAACATTCATAAGTCATGTTTGTGTCCCACTGTTTTTTCTTTTGTTACCATAACATTCATAAGTCATGTTTGTGTCCCACTGTTTTTTCTTTTGTTACCATAACATTCATAAGTCATGTTTGTGTCCCACTGGTTTTTTCTTTTATTACCATAACATTCCTAAGTCATGTTTGTGTCCCACTGTTTTTCTTTTATTACCATAAAATTCCTAAGTCATGTTTGTGTCCCACTGTTTTTTCTTTTGTTACCATAACATTCATAAGTCATGTTTGTGTCCCACTGTTTTTTCTTTTATTACCATAACATTCCTAAGTCATGTTTGTGTCCCACTGTTTTTTCTTTTATTATAATAACATTCCTAAGTCATGTTTGTGTCCCACTGTTTTTCTTTTGTTACCATAACATTCCTAAGTCATGTTTGTGTCCCACTGTTTTTTCAGTGGGACACAAACATGACTTAGGAATGTTATGGTAATAAAAGAAAAAACAGTGGGACACAAACATGACTTATGAATGTTATGGTAACAAAAGAAAAAACAGTGGGACACAAACATGACTTAGGAATGTTATGGTAATAAAAGTTTTTTTTCCTTTTATTACCATAACATTCCTAAGTCATGTTTGTGTCCCACTGTTTTTTCTTTTGTTACCATAACATTCCTAAGTCATGTTTGTGTCCCACTATTTTTTTTCTTTTATTACCATAACATTCCTAAGTCATGTTTGTGTCCCACTGTTTTAGGTGTAATAACAAAATATATATCTTTTCCTTCTATAATGATGGAAATGTAGTTTCACGCATAATGCCATTATATCTGCCTTTCAGCTAATTAAAGAAATTCAATAACACTGGAGCGTTATATTTGCTCTTCTGCTATATATCGATAGGTAATAATACTGGAGCGTTTCATCTACTTCTCAGCTCATTATAGAAATTAAATAATACTTTATTATTATATAGAAAGGTAATAACACAACAGCGTCCTATCTGCTTCTGAGCTAATTATGGAAATGTAATATTAGTATAGCATCATTTCTGTTTTTGAGCTAATATGGAAATGTAATACCACTGTAGCATCATACCTGTTTTTCAGCTAACTATAGCAATGTAATCCTTACCTAATTATGGAAACGTAATAATACTCTAGTGTTATATATATATTCGTGCTAATAATGGAAATGATAGTACTGCTATTTTAGGTTTAGATTTGTTCTTCATTTGATGATGTAGATTCTGTACTGCTATTGTAGGGTTATATCCATTTCTCAACTAATGGAGGAAGTATCATACTGGCGCTGTATCACTATATACAGGGTCATCCAAAAGAACTTTGTTCGTATAATTTGTGTTTATTACTTGTGAAACTGTACCTCATTAGGTATGAAAAGTAATGTCCTGTAGATGTCCATCATGAACTGCTACACACTGACGCGTTTTAAGGATGGCACCTTCCATTGCAGAGGTCAAGGTTTCACGCGTAAGGCCATTAGTTTCTGTATTTATGTTATCTTTGAAATCCTGACGTGTCCGTGGCTTGTTGATGTACACTCTTTACTTTAAAAAATCCCATCCAAAAAAGTCTGTTGTTGACAATCCGAGGATCGTGGAGATCAGTTTATGTCTCCGTTACAATAAATTACCCTGTTTGGGAACAGATCACACAACATCGTCGGTGTTCCTCGTGCTGTATGACAGGTGGCTCCATCTTGTTGATATACACTCTTTACTTTAAAAAATCCCACCCACGGTATGCGTTTTGATCATCAGTGATGAGGCATTAATTTTTGAAATAAATCCCAACAATAAGAGAACGCTGTTAGATTGTCCACGTGTTCGTCATTATTCTTAAAAAACAACAACAGCAGACTATATTTTTCATTAGTACTTTCGAAAATATAACTAAATAAAATCTCTACATTTCTTTTGGCGGACTCTCTATACATGCATCGTAGAGGGTGACTTTCTCACAGTTTTGTTTACTTGTTTAAATAGATTTTATTGTCTTTCAAAATATATTTCAATAATATTTGAGTTGTGTTTATATCTCTGTGAAAATAGAAATAAGCATAGTTTTAAAGTGGAACCAGATATATAGGAGCTAACTCATCAGTATTTGTTTTTGTTTGTTTGTTGTTAAGCCCAAAGGCGAGTATTATTACATACAGGGTTCCTGGTTCTCTACATAGTAGCATTAGTGACATATTATAACATACAGGGTTCCTGGTTCTCTACATAGTAGCATTACGGAGGTATTATTACATATAGGGTTCCTGGTTCTCTACATAGTAGCATTAGGGACATATTATTACATACAGGGTTCCATGTTTCTCTACATAGTAGCATTACGGACATATTATTACATACAGGGTTCCTGGTTCTCTACATAGTAGCATTACGGAGGTATTATTACATATAGGGTTCCTGGTTCTATATATAGTAGCATTACGGACATATTATTACATATAGGGTTTCTAGTTCTCTACATAGTAACATTACGGACATATTATTACATACAGGGTTTCTAGTTCTCTACATAGTACCATTACGGACATATTATTACATACAGGGTTTCTAGTTCTCTACATAGTAACATTACGGACATATTATTACATACAGGGTTTCTAGTTCTCTACATAGTAGAATTACGGTCATATTATTATACAGGGTTCCTAGTTCTTTACATAGTAGCATTATGGTCATATTATTACATACAGGGATCCTGGTTCTCTACATCTCTATATCATGAAATACATATTTTAATGTCAATATGTTATTTTTATTACACTTAGTCTTCAGTTTTTATTTTTGTTTTCCAGATAATGATGTGGAGACTTGAGCTAACGAACAAATGCAGTAACTGGTTTGAAAAAAAAATTAACTTAATGCGCTTTTCAGTGGAGTTATTGAAACGAATTCACATCTTTATTCGTGTAATTTGGGAAATTAGGTTTTAGTTTTCCTTACAAATTTTGAAATCCACATGGAGTGATATACAAAGAAAAGATCCTTTAGGTTAAAAATATTCACACGGATATACAGTAACAGTTCCGCAAAAATATTCTATTCGTCTTCAATTATTCCTTGTCTGTGGAAACGTGATTATCCACTCTTCGCAATGGTAAAGTGAACTATTTATAGAACAGCGGCGACAGGAATAGAAATACATCGTAGGGTTTCCCTGTCATTTAGTCGATAATAGAATAAATTTACTCTTTGACGTCAGCGGATCAAGATACGTAGTATATTTGTACGAATAAAACAAATACGTCACCGTTATGACGTCAGTCTGTTTAAAACAACTTCAAGATTAAGAAATATGAGTATAAAGAAGCTGTACATGTTCAGGAACGAACTTTTACACGTTGTTTGTGTATTTGACGGTAGCTCCACTATTAATACCAGCGTACTTAATTATACAGTAGGTTATGTTCGAAGTTTACTTGTTACACTACTCTTAATGTCAAATATACTAAAAGTTAAATATTTAGCGAAGTTGTATGAGTACAGAGTTAATTTATTCTGTTATTTATATGAATGGTTGCAAACATCAAGTTTCTATTGTTTAAATATGGTATCATGTTTGTATGTAAATGAATTACGTTTGAACTTACATTAATAAGTCAAAATTTAAACCTACCATTTATTCTTCAGGAAATCATCAAATGCTATCTTGAATACTTGTAAAACACCCCGGATCGCCACAATTACTGATACTGACAGCAACGTATTCCACAAGGCAGTTATCTTATTTGTACAAAAAAAGAAAAAAAATGTTTTAACTGGAGTCTAGCCGGTCTTTTACAAACCTTAAACTTGCGTCGTACCGTCCTATTGTTTTCAAAATAAAGCACAAAGAAATAAGACGCCTTCATCCAATTATACCTTCTCAAGAGAATATAATTTAAGAGGTCTTAACATATCCCTATCTGATAACCCTTCCATTTTCAGAATAATCATAATATTACTCCTCTGAACCATTTCTAATAAGTCAATATCTTTTTTTAGATAGGGAGACCAAAACTCTACATATTATTTCAAGTAAGGCTTAACTAGTGATTTTCATAGAGAGATAATTACTTATTTTGGTTTGTAATAAAGATGTCTTTAAACACACTCTAGAATTGTACTAGCTTTACAACTAGTAGTCACACTGCTCAATAAATCCCTATCTATATTAAATGTGTGACCTAAATTATGGTAACCCAAATGCATTACCTTGTACTCACTATAATTAAAGTTCATTTATCAAATATTTGTTTATCGTCTCAATTAATCTGACTGATTCTGTAATACCTCAACATCCTCAATGCAAATAGAAAAATTTTAATATTATCTGTTAACTAACTTTACTATTTTACTAATTATGTCCCTATCAATATCATTAAAATTAAGAAGCAAAACAAAGGTCCCAGCACTGACTTCTGAGGTTCTTCACTAGAAACAATGGTACGATTTGACTAGACTCTATTAACAACAACTCGTTACTTTATCCCAGTCAACCACCCTAAAATCCAATTAACTAGTTTTCCCTAACCTCTACTGATATGATTTCTTTAACTAATCTTTTCTGTGGCACCTTACCAAAATATTCTAGAAAATATAAGTGCACAAAATTCACACCATTTCCATCGTCCAGATAACAAGTTACATCATCAAAAAAATAACAGGCCAATAAGGCAAGATATTCCCGTTGATGAATCCAAGTTGGCTTTCTTGTATAACATATTTCACTTTATTAGGCTCTCTAGAAGTTTCCAATAAAGAAATAAGACCAACTGGACAATAATTTCTTATAATTCCTTTTCAAAACGAAGTAGTACCATTAGCAATTCTCCAAACCTCAGGCACTTCCCTACTGTTTATTGACTTACAAAAAACGAAAGATAGAGAGGCTCACATACCTGACCTTTGACCTTTTTTTAAAACCCTAGGGAAGCTTTATCTGACACTGATCTACTTTAAGTCTGTCAGTCCTTTTACTAATTATCAAAGTGACGAAGTGATTCAGCTTCAGCTCAGGCTCATGAATTATTGCTTACATGTTTTTATATAAAGCAGAAGAGAAGATTTAAAAGCTCAGACTTCTCACAGTCTTCAACAAACACTTTCCCATCAGCACTCACTAGAGACCCACTAACAATTTTAAATTATGATCACCTTTAACATATTTTAAAATACTTGCTGTTAGTTTTAAAATTACCAGTCATATTTTTTTCATAAGCTCTTTTCAAGTTTCCTGGTTTCCGTTTTAACCAGTTCCCAGCTTTCCTTTAGTTCTCTAAATAGCCTAAGTTATCCGTTACTTTAGACTTGTGAAATGTAGATAATTTATTCTTGATTTTTACCTTTTTTGTCTTTAGGTTTACTGGATGAGGTTTGGTCTCCTGTGTTATCATTGTCTTCTTTTTAGGAACAAGCTTATTTTGAATTAAAATAAATTTATTTTTCAAAATTTTCCAGATCTGTTCCACATTACCTTTGAACTTATTGCCCCAATCATTAATGATACATCATTTTTTTATGACTTGGAAATTGGCTTTCTGATAAATTAGGAACTAAAATTTCATTTGCCTTTATCTCAGCAAGAAGTAAAACACTAAACCTAATTATAAATGTTCCCCAAATGTTCCCTATTTCAACATTTGCAACAACATCCTTATTAACTGTTAACAAGAAATCTAAAATCACATCTTCTTGGTTGGATCTCTGACCATTTGGTATAGAAAACCAACATGAATCACTTTAAAAATCTATCTTACTCGCTATTTGATCCCATACAATTTCAATCAATTTGTCTAAAATTAAAAAGTCTCCGATAAGTTACTGGATCAGTATTTTTTCTAGCAGCAACACAGATGTCATTAAACATAAGATCCATTGAACACCGACTTGAAACAATCATTAAAGCTAATTTCAGAAAGAACAATCTTATTTTTAATGTAAGGCTGATCAACAGGAATGAAATAGTTATATGTATTAGTTAAGGTCGAAGAGTCATCCTTGATTCGGCCCCAGTTCTACAGCTGTTCTTAAAGCCAGTTTTATAGAGAGCCTAGCTTTTATGGAACTATTTTAGTTTACAGAGATTAGTACAAACCAAATATATTAAACTAAAGGGGTCTCAATTTGGGGCAGCGTAATTTGACTGTCTGTAATTATGGCTGCGCAATATGGGGTAGGACGTATGGGAAGCACGAAGAGAACAGTTGTAACTCAGTACAAGACATTTTTATTATGAGTATTGCTGCCATAATGAGAAGTTAAATATTGGTTTGTATTACAGCCCACCCAACTTCTTCTACTGTAGGGATTTGCCCACATGAAGAAATTAAAAGTCGTTAACAAAAGAACAGCTGATTACACTAACACATTCATGTATCTAAAATTTTCACTAGTCAAAACGTCTACAAAACACTAAAGCTGACACAGCTAACAACGCCTGATTTATTATACCATCAGTGTTGACGATAGAAGATGAATAATAGTACTGTAATCTATCAATATTATGAATCATTTATAAATATAATCTCGTTAGACCAATGAAAGCAAGCCAACTAAAAAGAAAGAATGTGCTTTTGTTTCACACTTCATCATACAGCTAATCAGAAGGTCTGTATCTGGTCATCTTCGTTTGATCCTGTGTACAAATATATAACCAAATATTTAGAGCAAAAATCAAGTTGTTAAATACGTCACAAAGACCACTGAACTAAAAAAACTCCTACTTAACATACTATTTAATGTATAACATAAGATATTCTCAATATGCTGAGATAAGTGAACATCAGTAACAGTAAGAAACTAATTGACATTTGTAAAGAAAAGAATATATAATGAGAAACTAGAGTATAAATAACCACTGACATAGTATTGTATATACCTTTATTTCTGGTAGATTCTCTACATCAAAGTACGAAAAACAATTCATCATTTATTCGGGATTTTTATGAACCGAAAGTAAATTTTAATTATTCAATCCTAAAGCTACGTACTCTACAGAGTGCAATAAAAAAACCGGCTCTAAAACTCAGAATGAACGTTACATACTCCACAGAGCACAATAATAAAAAAAAACTTTCAAAGACAACTCATCTTGAAATATTTCGTACTCCACAGAGCGCAAGAAAAAACCGGCTCTAAAATTCAATCTGTAAATTACACGCCCCACAGAACGCAAGAAAATAAACCGGCTCTAAAATTCAATCTGTAAATTACGCACCTCACAGAGCGCAAGAAAATAAACCGGCTCTAAAATTCAATCTGTAAATTACGCACCCCACAGAGCGCAAGAAAATAAACCGGCTCTAAAACTCAATGTGAAATTTACGCACTCCACAGAGCGCAATAAAATACTGCTTGTAAAACTCAACCTTAAACTTACGTACTCCCCGGAGCACAGGTATAAACCATCTATAAAACTTAATCTGAAAGTTACGCACTCCGCGGAGAGCAAGAAAAAAAAAAGCCAGTCTTAATCCCAACCTTGAAATTACGTATTCTTTAAAGTAGTCCCCGGGTGGGACAGCGGTAAGTCTACAGATTTACAATGCTAAAATAAGGGGTTCTAGTCCCCTCGCTGGACACGGCAGATAGCCCGATGTGGCTTTGCTATAAGAAAACACACATTATTCTTAAAAATTAAAAAAAAAAAATTCTTGAACTCTACCATGGCAAAGTCCAATGAGGGACTAGGAATAATTACAGGAATTGTTTGTATTTGTTACCTATTTGTTTTTAGGTGAATCCTACAGGATGAGCTATCAACAAGCACGTGGTGTTCCTACTTTGCAGATGGCTGTGCTCTTCACATTATTATTCTCTTTAAAGTAATTATTTTATGTGCCAGGAAGAAAAATGATACATGGTGTATTAAAAATATTTTAATAAAACTGCATTATCAAACACATGTTTAAAACCTTAATAAAAATAGACACCTACCTGGTCCGAGCATCACTGCTCTGGTGGCGACCCCTGATGTACAAGATGCGACTTCACTGATAAATGACCAGTCAAATTATTAAATGCATGCTGGATGCAATTGCTGCTTTGGATGTCTTCTTCATTAGTTCTTCTGCTTTCTTCCCTTTTCCGAACACATTCTGAACATAATTTTCGAATAGCGAGTGTTTTATTTCGAACAACAAACATGTTTGTGAACAAAGAGCCAATCTGTGACGTCATTTGTTTCTGACGTCAATAGTGTAGGCGCTGAGTCACCCGGCCAATCACAGCTGACGAATGTAGTGGTTGTGAAGTTGATTAGCTTGCAGGAGGTAAAATAATAATTTCACGTTCTGTGACGTCGTTAGAGTAAATTCGATAAAACTCTTACTGGCGTTTAGTTAGTCAGTTGATAATCAGGGCACATTTGTTGTCGATCTTCGACTTTAAGTCTGTGGTTAGTGCAATCACATGCCAACCGCCATACACTCATTTTTTATAATAATTTGGGTGGTCTTTTTTTTTTGCTCTGTCTTTCTTCTCTATTAGTCTGCCTAGTTTAATCCGCTTTTTTTTACACTCAGTAGTTCCTTTCTACTTTTTGGTTTATTTGTTTGATAAATACTTGAGATGGTGGTGGTCATGGAAAAAAGGCCTTTTCCACGGTAGTAACAGATATAATGTGTAGCAGGAAAACTTACCACTCTCAAATTTAAAATATAAAAATATGGCCAGAATATCTTCTTTCTGTACTGTTCTTCTCTGAAGAAATTTGAAAAAAAAAAAGATGCATAAAGCTGCTTTGACATTGGCTGGTAAACGAGATTTAAAAGTCATGTATAGATTGATGTTGATCCGAATTTTTCGAGGTATCCAACTGATGTCTAAGTTGTCTATAATTTTGTTCTTATTAGTGATTTTTCTTTGAATCTAGTAAAGGTTTGATTAGCTGGATCGCTATTAAGAAATGTGATTTACGCCACAATATCATTCGCCTCAGCTGTCTCGCATACTGAAAATTTGCACTGTTTATAACTGTATTGCTCACCTCAACAGCTTATCATAACGAAGATTTGCACTATTTATTACATGTACTGCTCACCTCAGCAGTCTGGTGTATTAAGATGTTTGCCTCAGAAGTCTAGCATATTAAATCTAATCAAAATCATCTTAGGTGTGAAAAAAAAGGTGCGGCCAAACTGGTAGCTACACTTATAGCATTGATAGGAACTTTACAGCAAATATTCATTCATTAATTGGCCCGCTTTTTGTTCAGCATGGTGGTGGGTAAAATAACCACACCACGACTTCCAAAAGATTATCACACCAGAAAACATCCAGATAGCTATCATTCCTGAATACCATGTGGAGTACACACATCAGGATGGTAAATAGATAATTATGGTAGAAACTGTATAAGGATGTACAGGATGTAAGGATGCAACAGTTCTATATCAACGTATTAGAAATAGTATTAAACTAGATGATTATCAAGATTGCTGCACCAAGTCCTGAAGAACACATTATAATTAACGACCTTAGGGATTTAGTACACCGAAAGAGTAAAAACAAAATATGATGAATCGCAAACAGGACAAGTGGATTTGTATATAATTTCCGAACATTATAGAGCTAAGTGTCGTCATTTTAGGCTAGAAAACGCATATTTTTATTTGAAAATAAATAATAAAGATTCTTTAAAATCCGAATTTTTGTGTTTTTACCTTGCTAGGTCATGAGAGTCATTCCCTCTTTCTTGGTTTCACAATGTTATTACCTTCTCTTATTACCTTAAATTTGAAGTCCTATTTGGAAATGTCATTGCATACCCTCATGATTCAAACATTCTTCTCTGGAGAGGAAAAGCATATCAATCCTAAAACTACTTGAGCATTTTAAGCATTATATTGCATATATGTTTGAGGAGGCACTGCAAAACACGGAATGGTTATTAAGTCAGTACAAATACTTGGAACAGTCAATAGGGTGAACCGTATAACATACGGCGAAATATTTTGTACGCAAGAATAGGAATCATAGGTAGTGCATTCCACTACTTTCTGGTAGTGGTATTAAAGGACTCTAATGTAGCAGGTGTTTAATACTGACATCATAATTTACTATTCTCGAGCTTCTGTGGCAATGGCACTTTTAATTGAGACATTATACTAGATTGTGGTGTGATAAACCCGCATCTTCACGGGTGACGTGAGTGGAATATATTAACCAGGAATCAAGGAAGTGTTGATAGTCCAACTGTACACAAGTCTAAACGAGCAATGTGCTACCAGTTGGTGGATATTGGGAGGATGACCGTCTTGCATGAATATGACATCGTGGACACTCGTGTTGTTGGACATTTGGGATTACGCGAGTGTGAAACAATTCATGTTAACACCACATGTCTACACAAATAATGTGTTACTGGTGGTGGGTTATCCACTGTCCTGGAGAAGACTTTCGAAAGTTAAACTCTTATACATTTTTGAATATTATGTAATACTAGCGAAAGTACCCGGCTTCGCTCGGGTTATTAGGTTGGTATATTCTAGATGGCTATGTTAGTGTATGTATTCTGAACCTATTTTAGTATAGAAGAACACTCAAAAATATTTTAAACATATTTATATTTCCCAGAAACATGAAAAAGTCGTAAAGGTACGATAATAATAATAACATTATTATAGATAATTATAGATGCCGCTATACATAACGTTATCTAACCTATATAAAAGCCAGCGTGTGTCACGCACGTCACGCTTGATTTCTTGAAATAAGAGGAGTCATAAAAGCCAAAATGCATTTATCCAGATAAAATAGTTCGTTTAATGTCTGTCCATTACAATTTTAGTGACGGGGGGTGCAAGGGGGCCGTGAAGGGGATTGCCGTGAAATCTTGTAAGTGTAGTGAATGTTGGTATGATTTAAAGAAATTAATAAATAAGCCTAAAGTAAAGACATAGTCTGAGATAACCTCGTCTAGAGCCAAGTGCATAAAATTTAACATGCAAGTAAAAAATATCGGTCCAATTTTAAACATAAATCATTTCTAAATTTGATCAATGGAGGCTCTAAATTAATAAATCAACAAATATTTTTTTCAATTTTGTTGCTTATACATTTCATTTTATACTTTCAGTACATAGACTAACTGCAATATTAGGTTATACTTTTTTTTGCTAAGCAACATGACATAAAAGCCATTGTTGGAACGCATTGTCACCAAAACGCACTAACATTTCTATATATTACTAGTTATATAAGTAACCACTTCTTTTCTATGTGGTATTTTGCTAGCTTGTCTCATTAAAAAAAGATGCGCACACGCACATGGATAAGACAAGTAATAGTACCTAGGTGCACACACTCAGGGGCCACTTAGTATGGTGAGCTATAGCGTCACATCCTTTCTATGATGTTTTTCGCTAGCTTGTCTCATAAAAAAGAAACCCGGTATGGCCAGATGGTTAGGGTGCTCGACTCGTAATCTGAGGGTCGCGGATTCAAATCCCCGTTCAATCAAACATGCTCGTGGGGACGTTATAATGTGACGATCAATCCCACTATTCGTTGGTAAAAGTGTAGCCCAAGAGTTGGCGGTGGTGGTGATGACTAGCTGCCTTCCCTCTAGTCTTTCACTGCTAAATTAGGGATGGCTAGCTCAGGTAGTCCTCGTGTAGCTTTGCGAGAAATTGAAACCAAACCTCATAAAAAGATGCGCGCACGCATGTATATAAGTAATATTACCCAGATGCAAACTCTCAGGATCCCACTGAGTATTGGTGAAAATGTTCAGGATTCTCGTTTATTTCCTCTTGGAGCTATGACGATCACACACACACACAGACAGACACGCACTTTTATTATTATATATTCATATTGTCATTTGTAGTAACTTGGATTAAATAACAAAAGAATAACTAGATTTAGTAAGATTAATAACTAAAGATAGTCGGGAGAAAGTTTTAAATTAGAGCTTAGTGTTGTAACCTGTACTACAACGTTAGATTAGGTTTGGGACGAGTAACGGTACTTTAGGCTTAACTATAATTCAAGTTACTGGTAAATCGTAAAATAGGTTAAATACATTGTTTTAATATACAAATGCAATCTAAAGACTAGTTAATTGTATCTTTGTGTTTTAAAAATTAACTTGTTTACTTGACTTTAGATCCATTAGTTTAAATTCAGCTTATAGGTATTTCATAAATCAGGTTAAATACATTGCATTATTAGTAAAAATATTAGCATTGAGTAAACATCGAATAAACTAGAGATTAGTTATTGGTCACTTCTATAAGATGAATTACTTTAATGTAAGCATAACTTAGTGATAAAAAATTGTAATATATTTGATTCTTAAACGTTGGTCTTAACAGTGTTGGCAATAAGCAACTAGTATTTAGTACTGAGCATTTATTTACAGGCTACAAGTACAGTAGTTAAGACTAGTGTAGGAGTTGAGTGTTCACAGTTTTTCAGGTGTGATGGGTGCACTGAATGGGTTTTATTTAGGAATTCGGGACTGGTATGTACTTTTAAGGAAGCTAGTAATGAAGATGTGCAATTTGTCTATAGAGTTTGCAGGTTATCCTAATTAAAGTAGAGGCAATAGATAAAGAGAAGTGTAAACTGCGGAATATTGCAGCAGGAAGAGAAGCTTAAGCTTTTACATGAAAGGGATATATCAACTAACCATGAATTTTTGGAAGTTAAAAAGGGTATTATTAGGGCTAAAAGTAGTGGATTTGATTGTAATGAGCTTATTCTATTGAGCAACAGATTTCAGCCCTTGGGTTGTGCATATGAGGAACTGTTGGAGGGAAGGAAAACAAAAGAGTCAGAGAAGGTTGTGGATGATCAACGTAAAGAGATTATAGTTATAGGTGATTCCTTGACAAGCATATGCATAGGATAGTCTGTAGAGTAAATAGGGGGAAAATAATTAGATTATTATACCCAGGAGCACAGGTGGAGGATATAGCTGACAGAGCAAAAGATATAATAAAGGGGGTTAGCAATGATGCAGTTTTTGATGTGCATATAGGGGCTAAAGATGTGGGGAAAGATATGTCAGAGGAGCTAACTAATAAGTATAAGGGGTTGATAAAGGCATTTAAAGAAAAAGGCCATAACTTAATTGTGTCAGGGATAGTGCCGAGAATTAATTGTGGGGATGAAATTATAAGTAGGTCACTCGGGCTAAATGATAAGCTTAGGTTAATATGTCAGGATGAGCAGCTTGACTGTTTGGACTTGTGGGATCAGTCCAATTGGAGAAGGGGACATTTTAGAATGGATAGTTTAGATTTAAACATGGTAAGATCTAGCTTGTTTTCAATGGCTGTTAACT